CCAGAAGAGGCACTGCGAATAGCTAACAGTGGAATGAAGCGCGTGAGGTTTCTGCTACGTGCTGATATTTGGCCAAGATATATAGCGGGTATTTTACGTGCTGTAGGAGCATTACAAATGAAACCCGACGCACCTGAAGAGCAACAAATCGCATCATTAGGCCTCACATCAGAACCCTGTAATTCTATGTCTTCTGACTATTGTCTTTGCAAGTCTGTATGAATAAAAATGATACCGTTTATCGAGAATCATGAGTATCACAAACCACAAACTGATCGGAATGTCTAAGAGACAAATGCGATCTGTTAATGGCACAGCGCTTGCTTTTCAGCCATCGACATAATTGACAAAAATTGTGTGTTTGATTATTACCAGAAAAACAACCAGAGTATATGTGTGGGTAGGTCCTATGAGCATGAGAGTGAAGAGTAGACAACAATCACATGCAACCTCACTGACAGTGAACGACATCTAATTCTCTCAGCTGTTTGAAACTTCAACCAAATCTTGGAGGGACTAATGATAATACTAAACCAAGCGGAAAAACTAGGCGAGGGTGTAGGTATGGATGTGCAGACGCTATCACAATCAATTTCGACTTTGCTTAAGGGTCTCGTCAGGTGGGGTGTGTATACGAAATAAGTATTTAATCAATAGCTAGCAAGACCGGTTTCGATAAGTGCTAAAGTTAAGACTTATGAATTACTATTAAATTGCAAAAGATTGAAGGATGTTAATGTAACTCTCCTACGTGTAATACAAATGTCGAACGTTTTAATACATAGACTTGCAAAGTATTAATATTCATATAAATAATAGATTCGAAAATTTTTCAACAAAACTTCCTAAAGCTTTTCAAGAGAATCTCCAACTTATGTGTGTGAATGATCGGATCCGAAAAAACCAGTCGATAGCTGGTAAGACCCATGTTTCGATAATGCTACAGTTGTATTGACGAATATCTTATTGGTATATATATGAATATGTATCTGTTTCATGATTTTGCGAATGAATGAAAAAGAGCTAGCAAGATCCATGTTTCGATTACGGCTGAAGTAATCCTTGCTGAATGGCTTGCCTGTTTACTATAGTAGTCGTATTTTCTCATTTTTTCTGTGAAAGTTCTGTGAGAAAGCGTCGATAGAATATGATATATGTGAAAAGTTTTAAACAAATGGGAATGTAAAATTAAAGTTAGCTGAGAGATTAACATTCTTTTGTTTTTTGAAAATATGATATACTTGCAACGTTTGCTGCGTTGTTGATGCTATGCTGAAAATATTGCTGTTGGTAGGCATTGTATCGGTATATACATATCTAGAAAAGAAGAGGTAAATGAAGTTGTTGTAGCTGGAAATGAATAATTATGAAAGAAAGTAAGCATGTAAGAAAAGTTTGAATATTAACTGTAATTAAATACGAGCTAATATATTCAATAGTTTATTATTGTTGTGTGAATAATGAGAATGACAAGAAAGTTTAGTATACGAAACATTTCACTTAGTTAACAGAAAAAAAAATACGGAAATAACAATGTACAAGAATCAACAAGGTTTTAGCAGTAAAGGAGCATCGTAGATAGACAACAAAAAGATAACGAAAAGACAAGGTGACAAAATTCTTTACATTTTTTGATCAAACGGAAATCATTTGTGTCATTGATGGAATCGTTCTTCTATTGTTCTACGAGCTGCTTCTGTGGTTGGTTGTATTCTGGTCAGCATTTCACGTTTAGGTTTCTTGTGTATTAAAAGACTTTGTAAAGTTCGATTTAATAGAGTACTAAGTATGAGTCGTGTATTTTTGAAACGTGATCCTGGATAAACATAATATTTTTCCCATACTTTGCGATATTCTTTTTTAAAATTTAATAGTGGTCCATTTTCAAATGTATAATGAAGATAAATTGGATCTTTGTGTTCGTATGTTGTTCGATTTTGAATGAATTGACCATTTGACAGTACATTGTTTTTATTTTCTCTTTTTGTTGGTTTGTAAAGTAATGTATCATGTAATTTTTGATAGGCTTCACTATTTAATTCAGTCCATATATTCATAGCATTGTATTGAAGGAAAAAAGTTTCGAAATGATGTTGTATAAATTTGGGTGTGGGTGTGGGTGTGAGTGTGGGTGGGGGTGTGGGTGTGGGTGTGGGTGGGTATGGGTGTGCTGCTG